GTTTGCAAGTATACGAATGACTCAAATTTATGTATCATGAAAGGAATATTACCAATTTGTCTGATCCACACACTCTAATAAAAAACAATAATTATTATCATGCTAAAATATTCAATGTCGATATTGTTGCCGTCACTATCATCACCTCATTTATCATTAGTACGACACATAAGCCGACGAAATAATTTTCGACGAAATGAACTTTCGACGAAATGATTGTCGACGAAATGATTGTCGACGAAATGATTTTCGACGAAGTAAACGGGACCGGATAAGAATAATAGCAGTAATAGTAATAGTAGTGATAGTAGTTTTTCGGAAAATGGCAACAAGGTTACAAAAAAAGATTAATGATTTGGATAGAATTCTAAAAGAAAAAAAACAACTTATTAAAGAAAGACAAAAATTTTAAACCAGTGAATATGAGCTACATTAAAGTGGAAAAAATATGTGAGGATCTTGAAATCAGTAAAGAATATAAATCATATTTGGTAAATATAAATATATTTGTATTATCAAAATTTTAATGATCTGTTTATTCATTGATTTAATATAAATTTATTTGTTATATATATGTAGATGGAAATCAGAACTATAATGAAATATTTCAAAGTTGATATAGATGTTCCTTATAATAGACAAGACACCATCTTAATTGCTAAAATTGTTAATAAGGTATATAAATTACATATTCTGACTAGATTTGTTTACGAAAATTTATTAAAAAAATATTTGCATTTAGTTCATTACATGAAATCCTGATGCAAATGTTAGTCTCAACAATTGACCAGTAAAGGAGTTGGTTAAGAAATGCATACAACATCAAAGTAAAATATCTAATTAAATTTTGATTTTCACACTTAGTGCACATTCAATGAAGGAAAAAATGGTTGTGCTAACATCTTTATTTAAAAATTTTTAACACAATTTAAGGAGATTATTTTTTATATTGGTAAAAATAAAAACAACAATAAAAGTAAGATAGAATTAAATATTTGTCATGGATATAATAATTACTTTGAATAATATTAATTATATAACTATCCCTTAAACGGTCAAAGTATTCTTTAGTAGTAACACAAAATAATTTTTTGATCACGATCTTGCATTCTTATTGGCCAATTTAACGATCTGCAAAGTAAAAATAGTCAATCGACCAACTTTTAAGGATGATTTTACGAAAACCACAAGGATAACAACCGAATTTTTATTCACAGATCAATCAGCTGGATCGCAAAGATCATTTTTGTATTAGGAAGTGAAAAAGTTTTTTATAACAGAAAAAAAATTTCGGCTATCAATAGCCGAAAAACCGTTTAAGGGATATACTATTAGATAATAATGAAGATGATATTGATGAAATTTATAATGTTAAAATGAAAGTATCATTGATGACGATGATTATGAAACTTATAACGATGTTGAAGATGACACCATTGATGATAATAATAATGATGTAAATGTAATTGATACTGAAGGTGAAGATAATACAAGTAACATATTTATTTATTTATTTATTCAATAATGTCAATAAAAATAATAATTAATTTATTATTATTATAATTTCTGATCAATTAGCTATGTGATGTTTATTATTATATTTTTAAAAAATTTATATCATATATATATTAATAAAGATATATATATATATATATTTAAGAACGTGTTTAACACATTAATTCCGCATTATGTTCGTATAGATAATAAAGCTAACCAATAGAAACTGATGAACAAATTGGTTAAAACAATTTCGATTTGATCAGTGTTAATCCTCCTGAATTAAGAAGTACACTAATAATAAAAAAATAATTTATAAAGAATAAGTGAGAATCGATTTCGAAATTTTGGAGGTGAAAATACAGTTAAATGATTAAATATGAAATCGGTATTTTTTTCGTCTTGTGTTTACTCGTTGACTCCAATATGATCTCAAACTCTAGAAGATTGACAAATGACCTAATTTTTGGTCAAATAAAAAATATCTAAAACACTACAAGATGAATTACGCAACATTTATTCTTAGAATCTATTTTTATGTTTAATTTTTGATGAATCAAATCATTAAAATACAAGATAATGAAAAAGCAATAAAAGTGATTATTGGAAAATTATTTAAAAACATTATTTACATGATTTTTCATTTAATTTAATCACTATCGTAAGTTGGAATTATTAAATGTTTAGAAACTTTGTGTGAATGGATTTCGCTTTCTTCAACTTGTATAATCATTTCGTTTGTTTCTTTTAATATTTTATTTACATTGTATAAATGAATTATTAACGTTACCATTTTCTTACGAAACGATTCGTCACTGTCTTCATCAATTGGGATTTCCAAACACTTTAATCTCCTAACTAAAGACTAGTGCCGTAAATTATGATGATGGCAGTAATTGTATTTACGGCATATAAAAAGTGGTTGCAATTACCTTTGCAACCACTTTTGCAACCATACTTTTTCCTTTTTTGGATTACGGCACTAGTCTTTACTCCTAACACAATGTAATGGAAAGTATTTTCTATCTACTATTAATATTTCTAACATGAAGTCTAAAAAAATATATTAATATTAAAAAAGGTTAAGAATTAAAAAATGGTTGAAGTAAATAATATTATACTTGCTATATATATGTAAGAGAATTGTTGGTATTTTTTTCCGGTTTAAAAGTTCCTCATTTTCCAAATTCCCATGATTTATTATTTTATCAAAAGCAGGGTTGGTAAATTGACTGGTCCATTGAGAACTGATGGACTTTGAGCTGGTCCATTGCCATTAATAAAATATTAAAATGTTACACTAATGGACCCAATAGACCATCAATGGACCACCAATGGACCACACATTCACCAACCCTGATCAAAAGAATCTTTTGAAAATTTTAATAATTTTAGACAATCACTGCAGATATGATCAACAGTGACAGGACCTTTTTCCCTAGGACCATATGATATTTCTGAAAAAAAAAATTCATAAATAAATGTTCTTCCATTTATATATCCATGTATATTGGGTTTTCTACTTGGTCTGGATAAAGATCCGTTTCGCTCCTTTGTGGCCACACTTATGTTGTAATCCCTATAAAAAATTTTTTTTTAAAATAGCAATTTTTTAAAATCATTATAATTTATAATGAAAAACTTACCATTAGTATTAGTAGGATAATCTATATAAATCCCAAAATATGAAATTTTTAATGGGCGCAAACCCATCATGTGACTGATTCCATAACATCCTTTTTTTTCTAAATATAAGTTTACAAATTCTAATAGATTGTCTGGCGGAGATATAATGTCAAAACCTTGATTTACTTCATCCCATAAGTTGAAAAATTGTAGTTGTTCAATTAGATCAGGATGTAAATTCATAACATCAATTATCCCAGATAATAGGGGATTATTATTGCTGATCATAAAAGACCCAATCAATTCGGAGATAACTTTAACCAGGGTTGGCAAATGTGCAGTCCATTGATGGTCTATTGGTGGTCCATTAGTGTAACACTTTGACCATATTTAGTATTTTATTAATTGCAATGGACCAGTCCAAAATCCATCTTTCTCAATGAACCAGTCAATTTGCCAACCCTGACTTTAACCACTAATGGAATATTTTTATAATAACGTAACTAAAAACAATAAGAATTATTATTGAGAATGTGTATAATTGAGAAAAAGCTTGTAAATTGTCTTACAGAATGAATAATTTCAATAGCTGATTCCAATTTAGTCAGTGAAGAGTTGACATTTATCTTTTTTAAGCTTAACCAAACAAATTGCATCACATCTTTATCAATGAAAAAATGAATGGTGTATATTTGTTTAGGTGAGCCGCTTTGTCACACAGGTGCCAAAACTTAGTTAAGTCTTCATTATTTTCATGATCTTTTTCAATCTTTTCAACCTTTTTCCCTAATAAAACAAATATATATAAGATTTCAAATTAATATTTTTCATCAATTAATTGTTTGTATTGCTAGCTTGCTATATGAATTCAGATTTAAGCAGTCTATCAAATTGGATTTTACAATAAGAACTATTAAGGATGCCTGTGCTCTCCATAGAGTTGCCTTTCTAAACTATTCTGAAACTAGTCTAGAAGGGGTTTAATAGTGCCTAACTAGTTTTGAAAAGCAACTCTAGTATTCTAATGAGGGGATCTCAGACCTGTGCTCTAACGAGTTGTTTATTTTACCAAGAAATCCATATTAAATTGATAGGCTGCTTAGGTATGAAGATAATTTCATGATTTGTAATTGAATTTAAAATCCCCTCTAATTTCATCATTATACTAATTTATTAATGTTAACTCATAAATTAAAACAAATGTAACTTGCCATTCAATCACTATATTTCTGATAAAGATAAAGCCAGATAGATTTGATGTTACTGGAATTATAGTCAATACAAGACATGTAGATCAAGTAAACCAAAAATTTAAATAAAGAGGATTTCTCCTTTCTTTCATTCATATAATTCCAAAAATCATCACAATCCCTAACACTCTCCCCGCAAACAACATCTGTACTGTTGACATTTTCTTCAGAGAAAAGATTTATGTTTTAACTATTTAAAATGTATATTAAATAATTTAGTTATTTGAATAAATTTCCTTACCATCAATTTCTTTCAATCCTTTTTTCTTTTTACTCAATTTTTTCTTTTTATTACTGTCACTGGACATTTTTCTTTGATAATAATAATAATATCATAAACAAATTAAGGAACCAAAAAAAAGGAATGACAAAAAAATAAAGGAAATTAGTAATTCAGTGAAAAAATATTTTCTAATTTTTTTTGTTTTGGAAGAAAGAAGAGAAAAGCGACATAACAATAAAAAATCAACGAATGATAATAAAGATTATAAAGCAAAAAAAAAAAAAAAGTATATTATTAATAAATAGTTTTTTTTTTACTAAAAAGGAAAAAAAATTTTTAAGAGGAGAACACATGTCTTTAGACCATTTTTGGGATAAAATAATGTGGTCACGAACTTTATCAATAGGTGTAACATGATCATGAGAATGTTAATTGATTGTGAAATTCTACTTATTCTACTTTAGGATTTTAATTTATCATTTACTAGTGTAAATACTTGTATAAATCAATTAAATTGTTAATTGTTACGGTATTCAATTTTCAGATTATCGTCATCACGATCATTATCATCAACAATTATACACAGTCAATCTCAATATAAGAGGACCCCTTTCTTATTAACATTAACAATATAAATTGTGCTACAGATAATATCTGTATATGGGAAGATCATCATCACTTTCCTATATAACAAGAGTATTTATATACAAAATTTGCATGGGACTTTCTTATACCTTATATTGCAAGTACTGGTACTATTAAACTTTCTTGTTCTATAAGAAAGTTATTAGTAAAAAAATAAATTGAGATTTAAAAAACCTTCACTATAACATGATTTTCTTATATCAAGATTGACTGTGTGTTATTATTTTTGCTTTTTATTGGGTAATAATGTATCATCATGATGCTTTCTGAGTATCATTTATTTTGAGCAATTTTTTCACCTTGATCCTTTTTTTAGAATGCTTCTAATGGTGCTGTAATTCTTAGGTTCCATAGTAGATCTGCTGTATATTGGTGTTACTTGCTGAATTATTGATTTTTTTAATAATAGTTGAAAAATGTACAAAATTACTCAACATCTTGATCTCAATGTAAAAAAAAAGCAAATTTTTATTCGATTTTTTGTTAAAAAAAGGATTTATATGCTTTTATGCTTCTCCCTATGCCTTATTATTATATATATACAAATAACAATTTTTTTAAAAAAAATTGACTGAAATTATATATTCCAAAGACTGCAATTTATTGCAAGAAATACAGTCAAAGCTCATTAAATTCATATTCGATAAATTCATAATTACCTAAATTCATAATCTCTTCAGGAACCAATGCCACTAATATTAAAATCCTATTTGATAATTTCATAATCATAATAAAATCTCGATAATCAATAAAGTCATACCTCCATTACTGTTTATTATAGGCATCATATAATAAATCTCACTCTTTAATTTCATATCTTGTGTAACCATTAAAATATGGATTACCATTAAAAATATTGACTATTTTACATAAGTAATAATTTGATTTTTTGGATAAATCATCAAGTCACATTATTTTAAGAACTTTATTAACCATTGAAAAAATGAATTCAAACTTTCAAATTAAGCATAGAATTACAGATGATAATGAAGTTTCAATTGACAAAAAAAGAACAAAAAACAATTTATCTTTTCTTGAAAAATGTAGAATTTGCGAAGAGCTTTTAATTAAACCAAAACCGCTTATTCAATTTCAGGAAATGCAGCTTGACAATTTCTTTCTTTATTTAAGTCTGTTGTTTCTGAATCTAAAGCAAGATATTTATCTTTATTTTTAAAAATTTTAGAGATTGCTGTTTGAGTGACATTATTATACTTAGCTGCTAATTCTTCTTGTGTTAAATACTTTGTCTACTTTTCGGAAATTTCATTCACAATTATTTAAATTCCATTTAGATAGCTTGAAGCAATCAACCATGGATGATTTTTTTACAAATGAATAATGAATTGTTTTAGTATTTTTATTATTTGTTAAATTCATTGAAGATCTTATCTTTTTATAGAAAAATCTCTATAAAGTCATACATTTCCTATTAAAGAGCGACTTTCGATAATGGAATAATTCGATAAATTCATAAATTTTTCTGTGCCAAACCCATGAATTTAACGAGCTTTGACTGTACAAGATGAAATTTATGCCACGAAGAAAGCAAATTAGCCAAAAGTGATATTCTCGAGTGTTTCATGTATATTAATATTAATATTAAGGCGAGAAAATTAATTGCTCCTTATGTTTTCAAAATAAACAATGCCCAGATGCTTGAGGAAAAAATAATACAGGTAAAATCTCATGATTACATAATTGGGTTAATCTTGTCAAAAATCTTTTTGTAAATTAAAAATCATAATCCATATCATATCCACACCATATAAATCTTTGTATAATTTTATTTATTATAAAGCTAAAGAAAAAAAAACATAAATTACATAAAATAATTACAAATTATCTTTAAAAAAAAAATAATTAATTATTATTGCTATTATTAGAATTTGATAATGAACAAAATTATTTATAATAAAAACAAACAATTCCAAATTATTAAATTACTTATTATATATTTTTTTTTTTTTGTAATAAAAATGTCCTTTATTTTATATACAAATCTAAATATAACTAATCCTGTCGTTCTTGTAAAGGAACTAAATTATTATCATCACCTGCAATTGCTTGATCTCCATGTTCGCCTACTCCCTCAGCAAAAGCTATTTCATTTTCAGTCGTTATACCATCAGTTGTATTTGTTTGACCTCCTTCAAATAACCGTACACTAGTAGAAGAAGAGAAAGAAAATATAAATATAAATATAAATTCACACACATACACACACGCGCGTATATATGTATGTATATATATATATATAACAAATTACATTATTTGTGGTGTCTTTAACCAACGTCTACCGCCACTATTCCTTTCATGTGGCCAAACATCCTCAAAGAAATAATATATATGACCAATTATAATTCCCAATGTATCACCTATAGGAAATACATTATTTAACAAAAGTGAAAATCCAAGTAAAACCCATGGAAGATACGGTGCACCAAATACGAATAGTCCAATAAAATTTAATCTTATAAAAGGATTTCTCCGTGACCAAATGTAAACTAATGTAAATGCAAGCGGCGATCCTAAGAATGGTATATTTGTAAGTGGTGATAGACACTAATATTATGCAATAATCATTAATTAGTCAATTAATTAATTAAAAAAAATCAACTAATGTATATATAGAAAATTAAATAAAATTTCATACGAGTAAAGCAACCGCCGATATAAATATTAACCAAAAATAATCTGCTGTACGTCCACGAAATGAACCTTCCTCCAACATACGACTATATCTTACTCTGTTATTTTTCCATAAAATTAACAAAATCTTAAGGATATATACATATAATATTTCCATCAGTTCATCAAATCAATCAATCCATTAAGAATTTTGAAATCAAAAGGATACAAAAAAAACATATGATATAGAAAATCAAGTGAAAATGGACCAAAATATAAAAAATTTGTAATTAATCTCCAAAACTATATATATCATTTCCATAAAGAATGAAATATTAGTAATCTATAAATTATAGTAATCATAATTTAAAAGCAATCCAACTATTCATTACCTGACGACCATTAAAAGTCTGATCAAAGTTTAAATATAATTGAAATGGAGTCACGAATCCAACTTGCTAATCAAAAATAAAATCATGTACCAATGTTAATAAAATAAATTGGATTTAGATGAATATTAATTTTTTTTTTGAAAATGATTTCATACTACAGCCAAGCTTATCAAAACAGCAGCTGTCGCATATGTCCTTGTTATTACGGGTACTTCATAATACCATTCTTCGATTGGGATTGCCATCGTGTAAATAATTTATTAGATTGTTATTATCTATTACTAGAAAAAAATTTTCCCCTTCTGAAATTATGACTCTAGAAATTAAAAATTATTATTATTAATTCGTTATTTGATCTATATGATGTTGTACGTTGCACACAATATGTCTTTTTCTGATAGGTTACATTTTTCAAAATACTGACTGGATATTAATATATTTATTTATTTTTTAAATTAAAATTAAAATCTATCTCATATAATAATAATTATATTACATACTAACAAAAACAAAATAAAAGCAAACAAATAATAAATATCAATCGGTCAATTAATCTCCAATTCATTCAGCTTTAACGGATGTTTTTCCTTTACTCGTAATTGTCGAAGGTTTTGCGTTATAAGTTTTTCGATAGAATCCAATGAACAAAAGTAAATAACTACTCAAAAGTCCACATCCAAAGATCGCAGCTCTTTCACTACCAGCGCAAGATCCATGATTAGGCATCCAAGGCCAATATGTTGCGGTGAAATATGTATAAGAACAATAGTATACAAAAACCAAATCAATTACAAATTGAACAATTTGCAATGTCGTAAGGTATTTTTTCCACCAAATCCTTGCACCTCCAGCAGCTCGGAAATAATAATAATACATAAACACGTGGACAGTTAAATTTAAAGTTATTGGCACCCAGGACTTTTTTAAGAATAAATTAATTAGAATAAATAAATTAGAATTGCAATTGGGAATTTTTTTTATAATTATATAAATAAATCAAGGATTTACCACAGAAGTTCTTCCTGCCAATTGTGTAAAACAAAGAACCATGGTCATACTATGATGAAATACATGCAGAAATTCTTTTCAGGGAAATGAAAATTTTTAGTTAAAATAAAATAATAATAATAATAATAATAATAATAATAATAATAATAATAATAATAACAACAATTACTATGACAATTTATTACCTAAATTTTTCTTTTTCAAGACCAAGAAAACTGTATCAACAAGTTCCCAATATTTTACTAAATAATTTAAATAATATAATAATTCCAATTTTTGAGTCCAAGCATCATTGTTACAAACTGCATAGAAGATTCCATTACGCCAATAAATAGGTAAAAGTTGTTCAAAGAACAAAGCTAATAGAATTGCTGATGAAACAGTCAATGCGAAATTATGAAGTTGAAAAATCAATTTAAGTTTGATTGGTGAAAAATCTTTCATGATGACTTGTCCACCAAATATAACGGCAAAATATGTAATACAACTAATGACAACTTCAGGTACTGTTGAAAGTGGTGTTTCTCCTTGAATGAATGCAAAATCTTCTGCATTGCTCCCTGTAACAAATTTATACCATTTTACAAAATAGTCGTCAATATATATACCAAAAGGTTGGTCTAATGATATTTGAAAAGTTCTATTTTGAATTGTTGTTGTTTCCATTTTGTTTATAATTATAATTATTGTAATGATTATAAAAACATTCAAATCTATGTTCGTATATATATATATATATATATATGTATGTATGTATGTATCTATGTGTATATTTATGTATGTATGCGTGTGTTTGTTTGTTTGTAAAAAAAGAAATACACTTGAAAGATTTTTTTATCTTATTTTAAATATAGTATTTTTTAAAAATATTGTTGGTATTATTTTTCAGAAAATTGCTTTTTTCCCAATTAAAAATCTTTGAAAAAAAATCTTTTATTGAAGACGGGATAATCTTTTTTAGATATTTTTTGAAAGTTACACGTATGTACATTTTTATCACAAGTTTCATTCATAAACAAAAATAAGCGATTAAGTTCATTTTAAATAAACAATTCCAATTTAATTTTATTAATGCGGATAAAAGCACAAATAAATTAGTCATTCTACAACCAAATTATATCTATCATACTATGCATGCTCTATGTTGAATGAAGGTTCAATTCTATAGCTGACTATGAACGAAAAGAAAATCTCATTACCGTTGCTGCCCGGCCAGATTTTCTTGTCATAGTGGTGGGTCAATTGAAGTCCCTCTTAAAAATCTCTGGCCTTTTTCGTTCTTTATACTCCAATCTTGACTATCAGCCGTTTTATCATCACCATCAGCAGCAGCAAGAGAATGATTATAACATTCTCTCAATTATAATTAGCAGGATAGCTTATATTGTTAACATCATGGTTCCAAGGGGTCTGGCATATATGCCTTTACATACCCGTTGTATAATTTAAATTAGTCCATTAATAATAAAAGGAATTTTGATATTTAACATATCTGGAACGTCCCAAACACAGATGATTACAAAGCATCCTTCACATTTAAAACATTTATAGTTTTTACTCTACACTTTTTTTTACGAACTCCCGTTTTAGCTGCTTTATGGGTCCAGAAGAGTGACCTTTGGAACTTGAAGAGAAAGGGGTGGTTGAATTTGGGAAATTGCATGCATATTTTAAATATCCACGCGCATCATCCGACACAAAAAAACAAAAATGATATTTTCTTCCAAGAATATTTCATTCCCTCGTTTTTTTTTTTATTAAAATCAAGTGATTCTCAATCCTCGCTATAAAATTAATGAAAAGGAAGTTAATGATGGTGAATTATAAAAGATTGTATTGTGTTTATTTATTTGATACCAAAATAAAAAATTAAATGACTGAAGATGTAAACTGTTTGTATTTATAAATTTATAAAAATAATACGTGTTACACTATACTAGTATGCCAACAACCAAATAGAAATTTAATCAGTATACTTGCTCAAATTCTACAATAGTTTGTTCATTGCCTTTTGTTTGCCAATATAGTTTAACCATACTAACCTTCTCCAAGATTTTCTAAATCGTCCATATAGAAAAGCATTTCAGAGATTTGCTGTAGTTGGAATCTGTGAAGGAACAGAAAATGTAATATTATTATTATATGGGGCATGCTCAACAAAGTGAACAAAATAAATTTCAGAGCTCAACATCGTAATTGTACTACCAATATAATGTGATTTTTCCTGCTTAACCCAAGTAAAGCTCCCAACGGTTCGGTTTCGGTTTTAAAAAAAACCAATTGTACGTAGATTTTTTATTTAATAACATATACATTCTTTTAAAATTTATTTGCTTATAATTAAATTATTTAACTTTCATTTTTAACTCATTTATAAATGATACTTTTTGATTTTCACAGCAACAAATAAATCCCTTCCGCCAGGGTCAACATCAACTATTATATGTCCTTCCCAAATCTAATTTTTCGTGCTCATCATTCTAAATTTGGTTAAAATTCACGTGTAAAGTTTGATGATCTTTCTGAAAAAAACAACTATGTAAATTCCCTTTATTGGCAATATTTGCATTTTTTTTACCATTTTACATTACATTCCAAGGAATAGGAATAGCATAGAATATATATATACACAATTGTTTGAACCTAGTCAAATAAAAAAATAATGATAATTATTCAAAAGGCAAAAAAATAGCCGCACCACTTTATATATAACAATTTCTTTCTTATATTAAATGATTTTTAAGTTTTTGTAGCCTGGAAATTCCTTTATATTGACTGCCGATTTTTTTTCTGATGGTATAATTTACCGTCTTTATCACGAATAAAAACATCCTAAAAGCAGGAAAGAAAAATTTGAGACGTTAATTATTTATTCTTTTAAAATAAACAAATTTAAAATCAATTTATAAAACCTTTTACCATAGTATTAACATCTTTAAATCTGAATTCAAATCGTTTATTCTTCTCTTCATCATTTTGACATATTTCTTTCATTTGTTTTTTTACATTTTCTGATTTAATAGATCTTCTGTCCTTTAATGACGAATCAATTGCTTCTTCAAAAATTTTTTGCTCTTCGTTTCTTTTTTTAAGACTTTTCCTGTGCAATAATTTCGCTGCGTCCTATTGTTAAATAAAAGTTCAGTTGTGTCCCTGTACAAATTTTATATATGTATGCATCGTCTTCCCTCATAAATAAATTTACCTCTGATGACATTTCTTTCTCTTCCTCGATCAATTCAAATCTAGGCTTCCCCATCTTTATATCAGTTTCAAATAATTTATCATCTCCACTTATACGTGTTCCCAACATTTTTTCCATATGATTACAAAAATTTTTTTGTAATTGAACTCCCTAATATAAATAAATATGCGTGATACATGAATATAATATACAAAAAAATTTTTAGTTATCATTTATCACATAAAACCTTTTTTCCCTTAAAGAAAGAGAAATTTCTCAGTAAATTTTTAACTTTAACCATTTATTAATATATAGTCTTCAAGACTAATCGAAATTTTGTTTCTGCATCATTGAAATCTGTATACTCGACGATATAGTTATTTTTTATAAATAAATGATGATTTACCTCTTTTTCCATATCTTTCTCAAGATTTTTCAATTTAACTATGGCTTGAATACGTTTTAATGAAATATTATATTTTGTACCAATCTCTCGCACTGTTTTATCTTCAATCATTACTCCCTTCCATATTTCTTCTTTTATTAAATCTGATAAAGGTGGCTGTGGTTTAAAATATGGATTCATTGGAAATGGCTACTAAGAAATAATAAGACATTTCAAAACAACAATTTAATTAAATAGTTAATCAAAATGTAAACATTAACATAAAAACCCACTTACTACATCCGAAGCCAAGTAATTAGTTTTGTTTAACAAAGGTTTTTCAAATAATTTGGCCTCATTGGCTAGCCATTCTTTGAACTTTGCTCTACGAACTCTACCCCCTGGTTTTGACGCTTCCGAGGAATATCTTTTCTTTACAGATTGACCAAAAAGAACTCGAAAGCATCTATGAACGTTATTAAGGATCATCATTTGATATTTGTAAAAAATTTTTTTAAAAAAAAACACGAATCATTTTTGGATGCATATATATATATATATATCACTATTACTGTTTAAGGAATTCAATTTTGACGATCAACAAATCAAATTTAAGCACGTTAATTTATAATAATTTTTTAGTAATTTTCTTTTTTCAAATTAAAAAATATACAAATGCTCGATTTTTTTACAATCTTTACCAAAGGTGGTATTGTCCTTTGGTCAAAATCCTTTGCACGTATCACTAATTCTCCTATAAATTTTCTGATTAAAGATATTTTAATCGAAGAGAGAGCTGGCGAAAATAGTTATATCAAAGATTCATACAGTTTAAAATGGACTTTTGCTAACGAGCTGGACTTGATTTTTGTGGTAAATGTCCAATAATGTGAGTCCTATATTAAATAGTACAAAAAGTTAATTATTGTACAATTTTATATTAAAAAAAAAATGCGTTTTTTTTAGGTTTTTTTGCCTCCTTATTGCACTTTTTACAAAGTTAACAAATACATACATACATATATATATATTGATAAAATAATAGGTTGCATATCAAAAAATCCTTCAATTGGCTTATATAGAAGAACTTTTGGCAACGGTGAAAAAATTCTTTTGCGATAAATTTAGTGAATTTATTCGTGATACTTCTAAAATTCACGATTTTACTTTTGACGAAGATTTTGATAGAATTCTTGATAATATTGAAACCAAGGATACACAAGTATGTTAATAATGATATTTATATCATAATAATATATGTACATAATATTATTATATTTTAAAATAAATTTATTTTTTTAAAGGTTCAAGAAAATAAAAGATCAAAGCCAAGAAAATTTGAACAAACAAAAAAATATAAAGAAACTTTAGAAGGATCCAAAAAGCTTGGTTAATAGTTTTTTACCTTTATTATAATTATGTTATACAATATTATCTATTTTATTGATTCTTTTTTTTTCTTTCTTTTAGACGTGAGTGACATAACTAAGCCACCTACAAATCCTGTCGTTGATGAAGATGAAATAGCTCGTAATATCGAGGCACTTAATAATAAAAAACCTAAAGGTCGTGGCGGTCGAAATAAACCAAAAAACAATAAAAGTTCTAATGCATTATTATCCGAGTAAGTGAAATTAAACTTGATTAGAAAATCAATATATATTATATTTGTATACTCAAAAAAGATATCTCTTTCATTTCACTTAGGAATGATAAGCCCACAAGAAAAAAGGTTATACGCGTATGGGATGATAAAATAACAAAGGAACAGATGGAAAGTCTTGATTATAGCGCTGAACAAAATAGCGATGTTGATTCTACGGTTGTCTCCAAACAATTCGTTGATGAAAATGAATTAGGGCGTCATTTTAATGACGGTCATTACGAAGTAAAAGATTTGGGTGGTAATGAAAGTGAAGGGGATGAAGATGAGGAGGAGGAAGAGATGAATGACAAAATTTCAAACGACAACCAAAACAAAGCATCGAGCATTTTTTCATTTTTCAAAAATATCACTGGCCAGAAAACTATTACTGAACAAGATCTTGCACCAGCTTTAGCTATTATGAAAGATCATTTGATAAAAAAGAATGTTGCGACTGATATTGCAATACATTTATGTGAATCAGTTGCAAAAAAGATTGTCGGACAAAAAACAACAACTTTTAAAAGTATGTTTAAATCATATTATTCATCATTGTTATGAAGTCACTAATTGATCGTTAATATTTAATCTGTTGATTCATTGATATAATACAAAGGCATGCAATCCGTTGTTAAACAATCTATGGAGGATTCTTTAAAACGTATCCTTACACCAAAAACATCTGTAGATTTATTACGTGATATAGCACAAGCACAATCTGAATCTCGTCCATATACGATTTGTTTCATAGGTGTAAATGGAGTTGGTAATGATTTAAATTAGATGATAAATTAAATTTTCTTGTTTTGTTATCATAATTATTTCTAACTTAATTATTTCAAATAATAAAATTTATAGGAAAATCCACAAATTTATCAAAAACATGTTTTTGGTTATTGCAGAATGGCTTGAAAGTGCTTATTGCAGCTTGCGATACTTTTAGATCCGGCGCTGTGGAACAATTAAGAGTTCATGTTAGAAACCTAGGTGCTTTAGGTTCTGACTCTTGTGTGGAACTTTATGAACGAGGATATGGAAAAGATGCTGCAGGAATTGCAAAAGATGCCATTAATTATGGTGAATTTTTAAATATTTTTTTAATGTGATGATGATGTTGGTAATGCAATTACGAATTTTAATGAATATAAATATTATTTGAACTATTTAGCAAAGTTAAATAAGTTTGATGTGGTTTTAATCGATACTGCTGGCCGTATGCAAGATAATGAACCATTAATGCGAGCTTTAGCAAAGGTTAAAAAAATAAAATAATTTATTCATTATTATTTTATTTTTATATATACAGATTAATGTTATTTTATTTATATTTTTTAACATTATATTTATATTTATTCGTTTTATTTAGCTTGTAACTGTGAATAATCCAGATAAAATAATTTTTGTTGGTGAGGCTTTAGTAGGAAATGAAGCAGTTGACCAGTTAACTAAATTTAATCAAGCTTTAAAAGATTTTTCAGGATTGCAAAATCCTAGACATATTGATGGAATCATATTGACCAAGTTTGATACTATAGATGATAAGGTTTGGTTTTTTCCTATATAATATATATATAATATACACGCATATAAATTTGTATTTTTAACAAATAAAAAAAATAATTGAAATAGGTGGGAGCTGCTCTTTCAATGGCTTATACAACGGGTCAACCTATCTTGTTTGTTGGTACCGGACAAACATATACAGATTTAAAAAATATGAAAGTAGCACATATTGTACAAGTACTTCTCAAAGATTAATTAATAAATAACAATAATTTATTATTTAATTTTATCATTTTAAATTTGTATAGAATATTTCATTCAATCCTTTTTATTATTATTAAAAAATAAAGCTTTATTAAAAAATATAAAATTTTAGCAAAAAGTACAATTGATTTTAAAATAATAATAACGCTTCAATATTAAAGATGACCATAAATAGTTATTTAAAAAAAATGATGATGATACATAAAATAGTTAAAAATCAAAAAGATAGAGGATCTTTTTTTAAAAAAAAAGCTTTATGGAAAATACAATTCAGAAGCTCCGGTTACAACTGTCAAATTCAAATTAGAATTGTAACCTAGTTTATTATATTTGCAGTTGTGTTTCTTCTTGATTTTACCTTTGTAACCTTCTTTATGATTACGTGTATCCTTTTCAAAAGTAATTCCTTCTCCTTCCACATAGGCATATCCTGTAGCAGATGAAGCCAAGAAATTGCCTCTGTATGTTTCAGGCTAAAAAAAAAATCGAGTATTTAAAATTAAAATTATATATATAAAATGCAAATTAACAAATATTAAAGTTGAAATTAAATGACATTTACAATACTGGCAATAATTCCACCATTAACGGAATGACCTTTTAGATCGATTTTTTGAGTTTTCAATAATTCATCCTATTATTAATAGCAAAAAAAAAAAGAAAAAATTTAATAAAATAAAACCAAATCAAATCAAATAAGCACAAAATAAACGAAATTCCTTTTTCCTTTTAATAAAAAAAAGACAACTAACCACTTTAATATTTAAATTTCCATTAAATGATGACAAGCCAACAAAAACTGAGTCAGACAAAGGATTGGGTGTGGCGGTAAGATGAATAGGACCATTAATAGAACGAACCTATTTATTAAACATAATTCATATGAATAAGTATATGTAGGTGTAAATGTAGACGTGGACGTGTAGATTTTCTCGATTAATTTACCTCTAAATTTTCTCCTACAACAACAGCTCCATTGACGTGTCCATTAACGGTTGAAATATCAGCGTTAGCAGCAGTCAAATTCTGTTAAAAGTTTGGAATTTAATTAATACAATGTTATATATAATAATAATGATGTGATTAATTTGAAAACTTCTTACATTAATACGTATGTGACCGTTTGATGTTTTCAGGTTAACATAGGCAAAATCAACGTTATCCAATGAATCAACTGTGATCCAATTATTTGGAGCATCTACGGAAATAGATCTAAAAACGTTTATTGAGGATGGCAATGTGATTATGGTATCAACAAGAATACAGCTAGGTGGAAAGTTAAAGGATGGAGTCTAATAACAAAATTTTTAAAAAATTGTATAAATTGTTAATTATAATTTGAAAATAAAATAATTTAAAACGCAAATAAATAAAATAAATAAATAAATACATTGACAGTAATTAAAGAATCGCCATCAGAATAACTAATCTTGACGTCGATTTTTTCTTGGAGGCTTTCACTTCCAATATAAATACTATTTGTAATGTTAATAGAACCTTTTGATTGAGAATCTTGACGAATAGTAACACTTCCGCGCTGTCATTATTATTAAAAATAATTTGATTATTGTTAGGTAGTAATAATAATATAGATTTTAACATATGTATTTTGATATATTTACCGCAAATAATCCTTTAACTCTAAAAATCAAACCAGAAGTGGTTGTTGGATCAATTAATAATTCACTTGGACCCTCCCATTTTATATTAGGTTCACATTTTGGTGAGATTGGAAATCCAGGTAAAGAATGAAGTCTGGGTGATGTATAACAATCTCCAACAACATTATCAGTACTTGGTTCTAGAACTTCGACCCAAAGAAATTGATCTTCGTCATGAAATTCCTTTATTAAATAATAACAAATAAATAAATTATTATTAAATGGTAAAAGTCTAAAAAAAAAAAAATAAACAAAAAATATGTATGAACTTAAACATATATATACATTATTAATTGGGGAGAATGCAAACCATCCAAATAACAATTTACTAGCAAAAAATACTACTAAGATTAAAATCAATGCTCTTCTCCAAGCTTTTCTTCTTTCGTAACTTCTTTTAAAGTAACAGTCATGAGCAGCATTGTTGACAAAATGAATTGGTAAACCGTCCTTATTTGAATGTGCTTTGCCTTCCATTTTTTTCGATTCTTTTAATAAATTATATTTATTAACATTACATATTTTTGATTGTAAAAAATATTAGTTATTTATTTATTTATTACCTGAAGCCTTTTCAGAATCTTCAAGTGGAACAGCAGTATATTCTACTTTAACTTTGTTATCCATTAGTAAAAATTTTCGTTATATTAAAAAAGAATAATAGTTTAATATTAATGACTGTGTCAGTTTTGGGTTTTTTATTGGTGATGATCGCCTTAATATTTGTAAGTTTTACATCACCCCCAACAGGATCTAGTCAATTTGTATATAATCTTAGAAATTCCATGATGGGCCAATGATCGTCTGATAAATGCAAAATTTGATTTTATATTAATAATATTGTATTGGCTTCCCATTTATAAACAAACTTATTGTATATATATAGATATCTTTGGTGCGCTAAGTGATTGAGTCATGTGATTTTATAATGAGAGACATCGCAACATTTGATAATAACGAATAATAATAAACGATGGTTTTACACTAATAATTCTTCAAATAAAATCATTTATTTTTTATTCAAAAAGTAACCTTACTATTGTTTTAATTAATATTCAAGTCTCTTCTAAATGTATAAATAAAGATGAAATTTTCTTTTAAAATTGATAATAAATAAATATCTACAATTAATAGTTTTTTTTAATTTCTTTAAATTCTACAAAATTATAAATGTCTTTTCCAAAAAACGTGTATATATTACTGCTGAACAAAAGCGCGAGTTATGTTTATTGAATCTAGACCAAAGAATATTGAATTAGCACAAACCAAGTTGATGATATATTGAAAGAGTCTAATAGATGGATCCAAATTCTCATCAAGCAAAATTAAAAAAAGCACATACTTCTTGTTGCTAATGTTGAAGATGCTTTAATTTTATGACCCAGAAAGCACTCTAATGTAATGCGACGATTACAGGTAACGTTATCCAATAAAATTTGCAGTCATTGGGTAAAAATACTTTTAAAGCATCATCTCGTTGGCTTGATAAATTCAAGCAGAGATGTTTGATTAAAGAATAAACATGAGGAATGTAAAAGTGCACCTATTAAACAGATTCCTGGAATGAGAGAAAAATTGGAAGGTGTTCATAAAAATTATAGAAAAGAGGGTATTTTTAATTGCGATGAAACAGGTCTTTTGGAAAATGGAACCAAGTCACGGATTATCAACAGCCCCCGTCCCATGTTTAAAGTTGAATAAAGAAAGAACAACAATATCATTAACTTGTAACGCAACTAGTACTGAAAAGCTATTTCCTTTATTTATTCATAAATATGAAACCCTTAACTATCAAGAGGGATTAAAAAAAGATACACTTCCAGTTTACTATTATTGGAATAGTAAAGCATGGATGCAAAACAATAAAATGTGCGTTGCAAATAAAAAAATATTATTTGCATATTTTTAACGGATAATTTAGAGTTAAATTTCATCACTTTCCTCTAAACATAACTACGCACCTGCAAACCATGCGATATAGGGATCATTCATTCTTTTAAGGTTGTATTAAATTATTTACATTTATAACAATGTATTTACAGTCTAATGTTTATTGTAAAATTATTGATAAGGAACAAAACCATTTTAGATCCGAAAGAAGTTGACATTATAAAGGCAATAAATTTTGTTGGATTAATAATTGCTGGATAGAAACTGGTATTATTCCTTTAGATTATGAAGAACAAGTCGGAAATACAACAAGATTAACACAAAATATTATAAATTATCAAAGAGACGATGTTGATAACTTAATTGATAGATTAAATTTCAGTCCAGCATTAAAAACAGAGGAATATATACCAATTGATGATGATGAGATTAATGAAGAAATCCTTGGTTCTTTTGGTCAAATTGAAGAGGAAGATGTTATTGTAATTAATACAATTATTTCTATTGTTTCAATAAATGAAGCTGCAAAAGCTTTTGAAGCTGCTTGCTTTTAATTCTTTTGAACAAGATAACGTACAAACAGATTATGACGAATTAAAAGCTTTAAAATCATTGAAAAAAAAAATATATAATCATATAGTATTCAAAATTCGATACAAATAAACATTACTATATAGTTTTTCAGTTAAATAATTAAAGTATTTTGAAGAATGAACAAGGAGATACTCTGATGCTAGAAGATTACCTATGGACTTTATCAAGAAGTAGGAAAAATCGTAACAAACAAAAATATTATACAAAACCATTGAAAACTGTAGAAAAAGTAGAAGAGTAACCTATCTAAATTTGATTATCAGCATTATTCCTAACGCAGGTAGAATGATTTTTATTAAATTGACCAATAGTCACTATTTCACAAATAATAGGTGTATTTATAAACCAACTAGGGAGGGGCACCCAGAAAACAATTATATTCTATATACACAATTGCAGTCTGTACGTGAATTGCACGCTTATCCCTATAATTGTGTATATAGTTGTTATCCTGTGTTAACGAAGGCATTTTTTTTTTTAAGAAATTAGAGGTGTAATCACGCAAATATGACATCAACGCTTTTATTTTTTTAAACATTAATGCCTAATGCTATATTAAATATTAAATATTAAATATTAATATTGACAACATTTTGTTTTGTAAAATAGTAAAAAACAAAAGAAATCAAAGTAAAATCGTGAAGATTTTCATAATTTCAATCTAGTTGAAATTAAAACCACAATCATAATAACTATTACTAATATTTCTTCTTTTATAACATGAAAAAAAAAATTAAAACGCATTTGAATTGTCTTTAGTGTCTGAGCTTGAACACACATATGCAAGTCAATATTGTAGTGTAGACATACATACGAGATTGATTTTTTTAAATAAAATAAAAATGCACTTGAGCTGTTTTTAGTGTCTGAGTTTGAAACAACATAGGCTGATCAATGTTGGTACGTAGAACAACTTTTACATATCACATAAGACGGGTTTTGGTACAGGTTTTATAAGTTTTAATTTCGATGATTTAAAAATGATAAAAATGGAAACAAAGAATGCCGAAATTCCTTATTGTTGAACGATTGCTAAAGTTTTGTGATGATAAAGTTGTTCTTTAAATAATGCAGTTTTTATTTTTCAATCTCAAGATTTATTTTTAATTCTTTATCAATTAATCCATGTTACGAGAAAATTGTTTGTTACACGGCATTCAATTCTCCAAAGAAAAAAAGACAATAATGTAACTCTAATTCTCAAAAAACCTCTCATTTTCTCCACTCTATTACAAAGCCAAATTTTATATTTTATAAAAACATTTATTTATAATGTCATATAATAAA